GACCCTGAAGAGTCTAAAGGTCTCTCCTGGGTGCGCTGGTCCCCACCTCTGCTCTGGAGACCCAGAGAAGCCAACAGCCCTGGTCCCCAGAGCTTGGGCAGCTTCTGTAATAGGGGTGAGAGAGAAAATAAACATGCAAACAAACTAAAGTACCTGTAATTAAAGGCTGTGGACAGCAAGAAGATGACAGAAACTATGGAAGAATACAGGTTGGTCTCCTTTATCAGAAATGCTTGTAATGAATTTGGGTTTTTTTTTTTTCAGATTTTGGAATATTTGCAATTAGATATCTTGAGGATGGGACCTAAGTATAAATAGGAAATTCATTTATGGTTCAGATACACCTTATCCACATAGCCTGATGTTGATTTTTTTTCAGTCTGATGATAATTTTATATATTTTTAGTGTTCCTGCATTTTTGGTTGTTGCTGTTGTTTTGTTTTTTGTTTTTTGTTTGTGTGTGTGTGTGTGGTAATGGAGATTGAATCCAGAGTATTCACACTGAGTTGCTTCCCCAGCTCATTTTGTATTTTTTATTTTCTGACAGGGTCTTGCTAAGTTGCTGAGTTGTACAGGCTGTGCCCATAGACAACCTCAGGAGAAAGAAGCCAGATAGTGCTGTACAATTCCTGGTGTGGTAATGCTTGCCTGTAGCCTCAGCTGTTCAGGAAGCTGAGGCAGGAGGATCACTTGAGCCCGGAAGTGCAAGCCCAGTCTGAGCAACACAGCGAGATCCTGTCTCAAAACCATGAAAGCTGGCAGTATATATGATAATGGACATCTGAATAAGAATTGCCCCTGTGGGTGGGGGCACTGACTGGAAAGGGTACACAGTAGGGACCCTTCCGGAACACGATAAGTTCTCTATCTTTATCTAACAACAGAGTTGTAGGCATATGCAAGACTTTTTCCAGCTGCATGCTGGAACTACTGTATGTACTTCATACCTCAAAGAAAAAGGACAAATAAAAAAGGAAAGAAAGGGAGTATTGGAACCCAAAATGAACCTTTTTCTTTGCTGTTTTGATCAGTCCTGGATAGGGGCTGCACCCACTCTGCTAGGCTGTGCCAGGCCTGTTCCGCGATCCTTCTACAGCTAGCTGGCTTCCACTCGGTGGAAATGCAATTAGGGGAAGGCCATGTCTGTGGCCCAGATGCCACTGACAAGTGAGCAGGACGAACAACAGGGATCTGCAGGCCGCGGAGAGCAGAGGAGGCCCACCTGGGCAGAGCCAGGCCAGACAAACGTCCTCACACCACAGCAGCCTCTCTGCTGGAGCCCGGGAGGAAAGTCTGGGAGGTGAGAAGAGCCTCACAGGCGGAAGCTGTGGCTGCCCCCTCTCCAGCCACTCCCCTGGGGCAGCAACACAGGAGTGTTTAAACATAAATAAAGGGGAGCAGCGAAAGGAAAGGACATATAACAAAGGCAGAGGGAAAGGCAAACAAGACCCAGGCTGGAAACCAAGCTGCCTCTCTCTGCAGGCTAAAGCACTCCTGGATTCCAGCTCACAGCAGATGCTTGTGGCACATGTGTACGTGGGAGGAGGGAGGCCCGGGCGCCGGCCTAGTGCCCACCTGAGGCCACCTCAAACTTCCTCATTCTCCAACGCCACTTGTCCCACAAACTTCCACTTCCAAGTGGCTGCTGCAATTCCTGGGTCTCAGCCCCCTGCCATGCCTGCACAGCTCACCTAGATAGTAGGCAAGGAGACAAGGTGGGTAGAGAGCACACTACCAGCTTGTGGCGGCGCTCAGTATGTATCCATCCACCTCCTGCACTCATCCCTGGCAGAATGTCGCTCCTCAAACACGAATCCCCTAACATTTAAGATCTGCTTACCCACCCTTCTTGCACCATATTCAGGCCAAGCCTGGTTCTGAAGCCAGAGGATTTCTCAGGCAGAGAGATGCAGGAAGTTACTGGCCTGTAAGGGAACAGTCTGCCATGACCTCCAGCATGGGCCAGCAGGGTGCCATCAACACCTGCTCCATTTTGTCACCATACAGAGGAGCTATGCTCTACTGCTACAAGATGCTAAAAGCAGTTTCCAAGTTTGTCCACTGAATTGCAAGTAATACAAACCCAACTCAAATCAGCTGAGACAAAAGAAAAGGAAAGAGAAAAAGGAAAGAAGAAAGAAAGAAAGAAAAGGAATTTACTGATTCTAGTAATTAGAGAATCCAGGAAGAAGAATAGCTTCAGGCATAGCTGAATCCAGGAGATTGCACAGTTCCAAAACACTGCCTTCCTCCCTGGCTTGGCTCAATTTGACTTTGCAAACAGGCAGGCCTGTTAACCAGGTAACATCAGATTCCCAACCTCCCACCCTAGCAACCCACACAGAAAGAAAGAGTGTGTGCGCGCACGCGCGTACACACACACACACACACACACACACACACACACATACACTCATACTCCATTGGCTCAAGCAAAGATTCCCTGAAGAAGATTTTCATTGGTCTAGCCAGAATCACATGCCCCTCCCTTAACCAGTCACTGTAGGCAGAAGAGAACACTCTGATTGGCCAGACCAGAAAGGGCATGCTCCATCCCTGTTGCCAAAGGACAGTTAGGTGCCATGATTGACAGCCTCTCTGGCTACAGAAAAATGGGTGAAGAAAAAGGTCCCATGGGGTAGTGAATTGCCAAAGACCATGAAGTTGCTCAGACACAAAGCCAGAGCCTTAACCTCGTTGCTTTTTTCCCAAGCAGAGGCAGCCTATTATCAAATAAGACACTCCAGTACCGAGCTTCAAATTCAGCTAGGTACCCTGAGCCTCAGTGTCTTCTCTGTGTAACAAGGTGGATACCTGTCTACCAGGAGGGACAGAAGCAATGGGAAATGCTTGGCACCACACCCCCACAGTGCCCAGGGTGGTGCGACTGCCCTGTTCACCACCATCCAGCCTTTTTTCCAGCTTCCAACAGCTTAGTGGCAGCAGGGTGTGGGGAGTGTTTCCACAAAGTGTTGGAACCTTTCAAAAAGCACTTTAAAGAGGAAGAAGATTGTCTATTGCTGTGTAATAATTTACCTGAAGTTCTGCAGCTTAAAACAGCACATGTTTATCATTTTGCAGTTTCTGTGGTCAAGACTTTGGCAGCAGAGGGGCTTCTGAGCCAGAATCTCTCATGAGGGTGCCATCAAAGTGTCACCCGTGCTGTTACCATCTGAAGGCTCCCAAGGCTGCAGGATGCACTTCTGGGACAGTTCCCTCATGCAGCTGTGGGCAGGAGGCTCCGTCCTCACCACACGGGGCCTGCGACAAACCACGTCACCCCATGAAACTGACTTTCCTCCTGAGGGGACAGCATCAAGGAACACAGGGACATACCTTTCAAAGCACAGCAGCATCTCATCGAGGGTGGAGTTTTTCACCAGCTGCTTCCTCTCCTCACGTCTATCAGGCCAGCTGTGCTTCCCAACCCCTGTGTCCTCTGGCACGGGTCACAGGAATGGGGGAAACAAGTTTCTGAAGGAGAATCTGGCTTGCCTCAGAAATGGCCCCACAGGGCCAGGGATGGTGGCACCTACTTGTAACCTCTGCACTCCAGGAGGTTGAGGCAGGATTGCAAGTTTGAGCCCAGGCTGGGCAATTTAGAGACTTAGTGAACTCTGTCTTGAAATAAAAATTAAAGAAAGGCTGGGGACGCAAGACAGGGTGAAGACCCTGGGTTCAATCCGTACTACCACCCCCAAAAAAGTGATAACATAGAAGAAATGAGGAGAGCAGTGTGGCCACAAGACATGGGTGAGCCCAGGTCCAGGAGCACTAAGTGCTGTCACTGCAGGACCTCAGCTGTCTAATAACCCAGGGCACATTGTGACAGCACTTTCCTCCACTGCACATCTGGGTGTTCCCTGCTTTCAGCCACCTTGGTTGTGCTCCCCAAGGACAAAGGCAGTTAAAGCATTAGTGGCCGCAGTGGGGCCCACCAGGGCTGGGCTCAGACTGAACAGTTCATGCCAGGGCAGACCCCAAAGGGCTGTCAACTTGTGGTGCCCGGGAGCTCCAAAGGCAGGCACCTGGCAGAACACCAGACCCGGAGGCCCACGCCCTCCTCTGGGTGCCCTTCCGGAAAAGAGGAGCCTCCAGTCCACATGACCAACCCTCACTTCACCCACAGTGCGCCCCTGAGTGAGGAGAAGCACAAGCTGGGGACAGTCGTTCCCACGTGTCCTGCAATGGAAGCCCACGAACCAGAGAGCCATTGCTGGGACCAGGTGCTCTGGGGCATCTCCTCGTCCTGACCTCCCAAATATCCTCTTGGAAGCTGGCATTGGCTGCATTGTCCAGAGCAAGAGAATGGGGCTCAGAGACGAGTAACTTTCCTCAAATCACATGGGAAGTAGCCAAGCCAGGCATTCAAGCCAGTGTCTCTTGCACTAGACTTGTATATTCTAAATATTTGCAGCATATTACTTAGTGTAGAACATCTTAAACTGTGTCACCCAAGGGCCCTAACAGGCTCAGGGAGGTCTTAGGTCCAGAGGTCAAAGCAGCACCTCAGTAAGATGGATGTTTCTCTGGCCTTCCATGCTTGGTATTGACATTCATACTCATGTGCATTCCATTCCATCAGAGGGCTCTGTGTTTGTTTTAATATAAAAGCAACAGTGAGCCAGGCACGGTGGCCCACATCTGTAATCCTAGCATTCCGGGAGGCTGAGGCAGGAGGACCCCAAATTCAAGTCCAACCTAGGCAACTTAGCAAGACCCTGTCTCAAAATTTTTAAAAAGGGGGTGGATATGTAACTCAGTGAGAAGGTCGGGTTTACTTCCCAGGACAGGGAAAAAAAAAAAACCAAAAAAACAGTAACAATCACTTAAAGTCAAATACAATTGAGCTCAGTGTGGTGGCACATGCTTGTAGTCTCAGCACTTGGTTGGAAGGCTGAGGCAGGAGGATAGCCATGAGTTCGAGGCTAGCCTGACTACATAGCAAGACCCCGTCTTAAAAAAAAAAAAAGTCAAATATAATCAATGCTGTAGGAAGTACCACCATAGTGGATTCAAGCACCCTGACCCTGGGCAGAGACTTCAGGGAACAAGGCCCTGGTCCTAACCACAAACAGCACTCCCGGTGGGTGGGTAGCTGCACCTCTGTCCCCATGTCCCTAGTCTTGCTCGTCCAGGCACACCTTATTCTCTTTTGTCATTGTCCCCAATCCCAGCAGCTCTAACCTGAGCAGGAAGTGGGGAGCAGGATCTGCAAGGGGGAGACCACCTCTTCCTCCCTCCTGCTGCACTCACCCCCCGTCCTCTTCCTATCTGCCTCCCCACGCCACATGGGCCCAGAACAGAACTTCGCACAGTCTGCGACTTGAGTGGTTACAGCTGCCACAGGCTCCCAAGAAGAAAGGGTTAAAAACATCTTTCATCTCTCAGTAGGGCTTTATATAGACCTCTTGTGACTCTGAATGGTTCTGACTTTATATATAGCGCACTCTGTGCAGAGGGAGAAGACACCATAGTTAGGGAACAAAAGCAGCCCCACGCTAATGACCTGTGCTCATTTGTAAGGACGGCGGACTGCATCTCCGAGGGCCAGGCATTCGGTGACATTTGCCATGTTGAGGGCCTGCATGGAGAATTCCACCATAAACAGCAGAGATGCGAACCCAAGGAGGTAAGAACACACATAAATTGAAGCTGCTCCTCCTGTTTATTGTTCCTGGAGAAGAGAAAAATTGCACGTTTCCCGTTGGATGTTTTCACATGTAACCAAACCTTAAAATGTCAACTTCTGCAAGGTGTTTGACCTAAAAATAGCATAATTTCTGTGTCATTTGCAAAGCTGTTTAAAATGACAGGCTTAAGCCTGATTTTTCACACATATATCTAGGATGACAAGCCAAAGTTGCATTATTTAGGGGCAGAAACATCTAGGCCTCCATTTTTACTGAAATGGACTTCTGTGGCTTCTCATACGTGAAAACTGCTCCAATTCCACCCCCACCATGGTCTTCTCTTTGTCTCTTGATGATTAAGGGAAATAGGAAAAAAGAAATCAAAGACCAAGGATTGGTTAGGGAGCCAGCAGTATCATCCTGGGATCCACCCACCTTTGCATGGGAGATCGACCAGCCCCTGCTCGCTTTGGGGCGTTGTCTTTCCAGCCAGGCTGACCTGGAGGGAAGGAGGATGTCACACGCACCCCGGCAGGCAGGCAGCCAGGCAGGCCGCCAGAAGCTCGCGGTTTGTTTAGACAGCGCAGGTCACTCCTGTCCACACCCCGAGCTGACGGGGCTTTATAAACACAGAGCACGGAATGCAGTCTATGAAGTGCTCAGGTCATAGATCAGCACTGCAGAAGGGTAGGCCACTATGCACATGGCCAGGTGTCAGCCCCGGGCAGCCACATTTGTCCGGCCGCAAGGAGGTGCCCCACCCAGAGCAGTATGCTAGGCAGGGATCTGCTGGGCCCTTCTTAGCCACCTCCACAAAGGCTGGGAGCACCAGACTGGAAGGCAGGAGACGAGTTTGACTTTTACTACTGCTGATGACTGACCTTGTGACATGCAGCAGATCACGTAACCTTTCCAAGCTGTCATGTTCCACATTCAAGGCTAAGAAAGCTCCCAAAATCTGAGCATCTTGGTGAGTCCTTAATTCAAATTCACATTTATTAACTGTGTGCATAAATGAATTGAATGGCCTGAAATAAGGGGCTTGACCCTGCACTACCTCTGCCTGGCACCCAGCCACACCCTGGAATTGCTTCTGTCCCTCTGCCCCTTCCTAGGGCCTCTCAGCCCAGAGAAAGTAAAGCCTTTTTCACCGCTTCCTGCAAACGAGAATCCAGCCACATCTGAACTGCTGCAGGCAGGCAACCCGAAGCATTTACCTAAGAAGATGCTTGTCACCAGCTCACAACTCTGTCATTCATGCCACCGCCCTCGGCTTCCTTCTCCGGAGCCCCAGGGAGCCCCGGGCACAAGCTGTAGCGCAACTGGAGTGAAGAAACAAACGGGCCGCCTCTCCCTCCTCGCACTTCACCGGTGGGTTTGTTTCAAAGCCTGTGGGTGTATTTCAATGAGAACAACATGAAAACATGGGCGGATTCTTTTCTCTCTAAAAGAAAAAATGTGGAACAATAAACCGAAGTAATAACACAGCAAAATGTGGACATCTGCTCCCCGCCCTGAACGACTCCCCACTTCGTTTCTCCCCGAGCCCCGTCACACCCCCCTACACAAGGCACAGATTGCCAAAGTCAAAATTAATTCACCTACATTGACTGAGCATTGCAACCTGCTGCTGTGTTGCTGGCTACTGAACTTGTTCATTCATTAAGCTAAAATTCGGTGCGTCCTTTCTAGGTGCCAGGCACTGCGAAGGCTTCTTTTGAATGAGTCTTTTAGGAATCCTGCGGTCTAATGGGGGTACTGAGACAGCCCATTAATAACTGTGATACAGGAAGAAACCAGGCGAGGCATAAATGCAGGAAGTGCTGGGAAAGGAAAAAAAAAAAAAAAAGCAGTTGGCTGGATGTAATAGTCAGGAAGGCTTCAGGAAGTTCGTGGCCTTTTGCCTGGGCACTGAGGTCTGGATGAGCCTGCACAGCATAGGTGAAAAGAAAGGCATCCTGGGTAGAGGACACTGAGGAATTAAGGGCAAAGGCCAGAGGCAGAGGTCCCAGCATGAGTGAGTGGCAGCAATAGATGAGCCTGGCAAAGGAGACAGGAATAGGTCCCAGGCGGTGGAGAAAAGCAGACCAAGGAGAGTGGAGATGACTCAGTGGGTAGAAGAGAACTGCAGAAGGATCCTTCACCAGGGAGTGTGAACCGGTCATTTTTCTCCTCTGACATCCAACCCCTGCCCTTCTTTGGCAGGCCTGGGTACAGCCGGGAGCTACATTTCCCAGGTGTCTTTGCAAGTGGCCTCTCTCAAGGTTGGCCAATGGGAGATGTTGGTGGGAGACCAATAGATAAGCCGAGGGACAGACCAGAGCATTTCTTTCCCACTCTGCCTTGGTTCACATCTCCAGCATCAGTTGCTTCTCCTGCATCTTCTCTGTGGCTCCAGTCCTCTCAGCCCTAGGGGTACTGGCTACTATTGGTACCCTCTGACTGTCCTCAATGTCCCTCATTTGGCTTTTCAGCAACTCCAGCATCTGGGAAGCCAGTTTCTAGAATTAAATTCCCTATGCTTAAATTCCTCAAGTAGTTTCTGTTTTCTTTGCTAGACCTTCACTAACGCAGCGTAATTGGGTCCAATTTGGTTTCAGAAAGTTCACACTGGCTGCAGAGGAGAGGAAGGCCTGAAGCAGGGGACGGCATGGAAACAGATGAAGGTCACAGAGCCCTAGGTGAGGTGGTCCAGCAGGACTGCACCTGGGGTCAGGATGGGGCATCAGAGGGTATACCAGAAATCAACAGTGGAGGGGATAGCAGGGAACAAACTGCACAGGACAGAAGCTGCTAAGCTGGACTTTTCTCTGTTCTTTTCCTCCCTTTTTATTGCTTTTCTCCTTCTTTAATCCTGGCACTCAGCTGTCAGGTTTTTTCTTATTGATTTTGGATTATGGATATTGGAGGCGGAAGCTCTAAAGGGAGAGAGCACCGGGAGATAGGACAGGAGGCAGAGGACAGCTTGGGGCCAGTGGGAGGGGCTGAGTCCTGGGCACTGGCCAGAGGGTAAATGGGGAGGGAACTTGGGGATGGGGAGAAGAGTCCCAAGGGGTAGCAGCAGCCAAGGAGAGGAGGTGAAGAGAGCAGGGCTGTCAGGGGTCTCCAGGAAGCAGTGTTAGGAGCTCAATGGAGGGATGGGTCATACTGGCATGATCACAGTGTGGGGACAGTGAACACAGAGAGATCTTAGACAAGAAATCTGGCAGAAAGGAAAGACAGGCAAGACTTGCCCAGGAACGAAGTAGATTGGAGCCTATGGAAAGGGGTCCAATAGAGAGCAAGGGCCCAAAAGGACAAGGGTGAGAGCATTCATTCGTTTATTCATCCCCTCCATGTTGTTTACCCAGTGGCTCTGTGTACCACAAAGTATTGTTTTTGTATCGTTTATTTGTTTGGCTGGTTGGTTTTTTTGTTTTGTTTTGTTTTTTTGGTACCAGGGATCGATCGAACTCGGGTCCTTGCACTTGCGAAGCAGGCACTAGAACCACTGAGCTAAATCCCCAGGCCCCCACAAAGTACTGTTTTGAGCTCTGGGAGTGCAGTAGTGAGTGAGAAATGAAAAGTTCCAGCCCAGGTAGAGCTTCCAGAGGAATAAAGAAAGATAGATGACATACAAAAGCATCAAAGATGCGGTACCGCCAAAACTGGAAACCCACAGTACTTGTGTAAACCGTGGATGATTTTAGATGTGATGTTATTTTGATGATGTTTTAAATTTTAAAGTCAAATTCTATTCGGATCAGAACTTTTATCAATATGTTGAGCTTTTGTTTCTTGAAACTAGTTTGTCATAACATATCATGCATAATCACAGCATTTATTTTGTAGGACTATTGTGAATGTGTAGCCTTATGTTTACTGCTAAGGGAACAATTATTTATAAAATAATATTAAATCCAGCATTAGCTGCCTATTTCAGATACTTAATACTTGCAGAGACCCATGTTACATTTTGAAGTTTTTGTTTTGTTTTTGCTTTTAAAGAATCACCCTCATTGTTGAAAGTAAATGTACTCTTAGGGTGTGAATATTAGTTCCAATAAAGCATGTGGTTATATTAAGGTGGTGGTAGCGGGAAGAGAATCTTGATTCCATTGGGAATCTTAGATTTTCTTAAATTTATTGGGAAAATAGTTTTTCCTGTACTGCTGGAGTTTCTTTTTGGTAAACAGTATCTTTCTAAAAGAAAAAGCATGAAGGAGAAATTGAATTGTGTATACAGTATGTCCTCAGATGACCAGCACTGTATTCGTGAATACTGTGCATCTTACAGTCAACAGTGTAGAAGCTGTTCATTTTTCAATCTGAAGTAAAATACTTTCAAGAACTTTAAAAAGAATAAAAACAGATACGGTACTGCAAGTGATAGTAATGGCTGCTGAGGGGAGATATGAAAGGAATAAGAATGCAGTGGGGCTGTGACTTAAGCAGGATAGCTGTGAGCCGGGTACAGTGGCACACACGCAGTGCTTGTAATTCCAGTTATACAGCAGGCTGAAGCAGGAGGATCGCTTGAGCTCACGAGTTCAGGGCCAGTCTGGGAAACACAGCAAGATCCCTTCTCAAAAAAAAAATTATTTTTGATAAATAAATAAATAGGGTGGTTGGGGAAATGACTCAGGAAGGGAGGTGAGCCATCTGAGGACTGGGAGCTCCAGTGGTGGGCTACCTTCCTGTGGGAACCACTGCCCCAGAGGCCCAACTAGGACATGAATATAAGGAGAGGTGCGCCTTCCCTGAGAGCAGGTGGGTGGTGACAAGGCAGAGGATAGCTTCAGGCCAAGGCCATGTCTGAAGCTGGAGTGTGCAAAGGCACTGAGATTTGTAAGTATCTGGGCAGCGTTCCCACCCCCATGACAGGGCCCTGAGTCTCCCACCCACAATTCTGTGGAATCAAGTATTTATGAGCCTCTTGAAGACCTCCCCTTTCTCTCCAAGCACAGGCTTTACCTTCCACCCTCTGCTGTCTTCTTGAAGAGGTGGTAACTATGAGCCCACTGAACTCCTCTGCTCCCAGAAGCCCTTACACTGAGGCCTGCCCCCACACTGCCCTGGGGGTCTCCAGTTCTCCCATTGGTTGTCCAAGAGGCAGCCTGCAATGGGGTCAATCGAGCCACTCTTCCTCCAACACCCACCCACCCACCAACCTATAATGTTGATTATAGGGTTCAACATTCCTGTTACACCCCTTACTTCTGAGATGGATACCTCTGGGAAGGCCCTAGGTATGGCTTCTACAAACCTCCAACCATTAATGGAACCCAGAGAACTATGGCCATTCACTTTATGGTGCCTTGGATGGCCATGTTTCACTACAGAGCCACAAACTAACCTCATCCTCCATCTTTCAGAGTTCCCCTGAGAGTATATATGGCTGTGCTCAAGTACACAAACCTCCTGGATCTCTCCAGAAGTGGCTTTTCACAGCTGAGACAACCATTTCCCCTCAAAACTCTGAGAACAGTAACAATGGGGGAGAGGTCAACAGCCCTAATGGTGGCCATGTTGAAACTAGCAGCCATGTTAGAACTGGTGGCCCTTTCGAAAAAGGTCCATTCCAAAAAAGACATTGAGATCTCGTCACTGAGGACACAGAACTTTTTGTAGAAATGCTGTAGTCACTCTGTCCTCACAACCCTAAACTCTCCATCTCAGGGAGCCTGGGTGGATTCAGCTGGGTGCAAAAGGCGCTGCCTTTAGTTCTTTCCGAAATCCCTCAAAATAATAAAGTTTAGTCTCCCTGCTTGACTTATGAAAATCAACACTTTTGTACTCTACACAAAGTCGAATGTTAAAAATAATAGCTTTTGTGTTGGAGTATACGCTTTCAATATTCATTTTCCACGCTCCAGGATAAAATATACGACCATTAAGTCACTACAATAAGTTGAAAAACAAGATTACAGCTTTCACATCTTATGTGAGTTGCTAATAATCTTGCTGTTATCCTAACATTATGGTCAAAAGATATTGCTTTTAAAGTTATTGGGATGCTATGTGCCTGACATGATAGTTTTTTGAAAACCTACAGCAAGGGAAGATGGAGAAAGGGAAGGGTATGATTTTATTAGGGGGGTTACTTTTTTTAACTATGGAGAATTTCAGGCATATGCAAAAATCCAGAGAATAGTATAAAAAAATACTGGGTCCCTAACACTAGCTTTAAGAACCAGTAATCCCCACCCCCTTTAAGTGAGGCTTTGTAGGGCCAGGGATTTAGCTCAGTGGTTCTGCTACCTGCCTCCCAAGCATAAGGTCCTGAGTTCAATCCCCAGTACCAAAAACAAAAACAAATAAGTGAGGCTTTTTAACAAGCCCCAGACACCCCAATACTTTCTTTGGTTAATAATGTTGAGGATTATTGTGGACAGGGAAGACCTTTTTCT